AGTTCTGGAAGAAACTCTTCTACTCTTAGTAGGCCTTTCATCTTCAGAGGCACGTCCCTTCCTCTTGGTGGGCCTTCCCACTTTGGAGGAACTTCCACCAATTGTGTTGGGCCCTTCCCCCTTGGAGGGACCATTCACAGTTCTCGAAGAAACTCTTCTAAGCTTAGTAGGCCTTTCGTCTTCAGAAGAACTTCTCTTCCTCTTGGTGGGCCTTCCCACTCTGGAGGAACTTCCACCAATTTTGTTGGGCCCTTCCCCCTTGGAGGGACCATTCACCCCCTTGGAAGGAATTTCAATCTCGTTGCGCCTTTCGTCCTCAGAGGCACTCCTGTTCATCCTACTGGGACTTCCCTCCTCGGAGAAAGTGTCATTTGTTGTGTTGGACCCTTCTTCTTCGGAGGAACTTCCGCTGTTCAAAGTGGGCCCTTCCCTCTTCGAGGAACTTCTTCCATTTGATGTAGGCGTACCTTCCATACATGTACATTGCACTAGGTTGATGTTAAAATTCACCGTCGTGGGCTGTCCACTGACGCAGGGACATATCACTTCACTGGAGGGACTAATCGTTACGCAGGGCCTTTCGCCTTGGAGTGTCATCTCAACCTGTTTTTAGAGCTTTTTCTTATTACTGGCCTTCTAATCTTCTACTGTTGGCTGTCTTTCACTTTTCAGTAGCTGAAAGAAGAGCCAATAACATATCCGTTAATAAGGGATAACTACACAGTACCTCTGGTCTGACCGACGAGGGAATGCCAAGTAGGGAGGTTGAAACAATGCGTTAAATGTTGGACATCACTACGTCAACGTCCACACTAAACACGAATATCAGTGACTTGAAATGAGCACTAGGACACTGCAGTAACTGATATATCGAGCAACATTTAAATGAACTCGCCTAAATACTTTGTTTGAGATAAAGGAGTGCACTGTGACATAATTTTACTATATTTCCTACTGCAATAAGTTATGCACTCTCAATTCTGTTTTGTGATCCTACTACTGCAGTTAGAGTCTTTCCTAGCAGCAGGTACGTTTATCAGAATTAAATGCAAAAATTAAACTCATTTCTTGTTTGTGAACCTTCTATGGCGATAAGAAACGTTTTGTAACAGAAGACATTTTCATCACAATTAAATGAAAACTAATATTGTTCCAATTTACAAGAAAAAATATGGCGAAAATACACACCTGTAATGTCAAATATAATTCCTTTGTCAGCAAACGGCCTGAATATAATGTCGTGTGTTGCGTAGGTAATGTGACTGCTCTTCTAAGGTCAAATACAAAGTGAACTGTATCTTGCTGAAGCCGGAGTCTTTAAACTTGCAGTCGTACCGAATAGGGAATACCATGTCAAAGGCTATTACTGCCCGCTACTATCGAAACGCTGCTTCAGCAATTCGTGTGTAACGGTGGAAACCCTACAGTTAGGAACTGCTAGCGTCTGATTCCAAGGCGTTGCAACGGAAACGCTGCTTCAGCAATTCGTGTGTATCGGTGGTATCTCCACTGTTAGGAACTGCTGGCGTCTGATTCCAAGGCATTGCTACGGAAACGCTGGTCGTTGCCTAGGAAATAAACTCTGATTTCCTCAACCATTTTCTCTTCGAAGTCTTCAAAAATCGCAAACCTAGAACAAATGTCATTTAAACAAAAAGTTAAATTTCAAGAAAATTACCAGACTGACATTTTTTATCGCGTGGGCTGTGGTGAGCTTCATTTCAGTTGCTACATTCCTACCATCCACAGATATTAGATGAGTATGGCGTAGTCGATGGAATGAGAAATGGTAGGGTAAACTGAAGTGCATTGAGAAAACTTGCCCAGTGTCACGCTGTCCACTAAATAATGCATATGGCGTGAACTTGTTTGGAAGCCAAACAGCTGGGACAGTAAATATGCTAATAAGAGACTGTCTTGGAATGAAGCACCCATCTGGGGCTTACGACCAGAGTTTTATTACCGCCAGACATTTGCGTGTTTGTTGATGTCGGGCGCTCTCTCTTATGAAAGGGCGGGTCTGTCGTTTACAATTGTTGCTGGCCATCGCCAGCGCAGTCATTCTCGGGTCAGAGTCCAGCGGGACTCAAGTCCGTATGTTTCTGTTCCCGACTCGAGACTTCGCTTCCCTTCGCGCCGCCTCCTGCGACTCGCCGGGTTACGGTGGTAGTATTCGAGCCCGCCTCTAGCCCATACCAATGGAAATTGTTTATTGCTTGTCGTATCTGTGGGAACCTTTGTTGAATCTTCGTTGCTTACCGAACCGTTCCCCAACACTGGGTTATTCCGTGTTTATTCGTTGCATCAGGAACGTGTGCTTGGCTGGCCACTGGGTAGCAATAGACTTCCGCTCTGCCAGTGGCCCTGTGTCTGATGTTCCATAGGTTTCTAACTTTGTGCCCCATTCGTAGCAATTCCTGGTGAAGAGAGTGGTGTAGATTTCTGATTTCCATTCTGTAGGGACGCTGTTGCCAGGGTTGGTATGTTTGGAATTAAACTTCCTCTCTTTCTTAGATCTATTATTTTTTTCCTGTATTCCATTTTGTGTCTTATTATCTTTATTTTATAGTGGTTTGTTGTTTTTAACGTGTTAACTTCCTGTTCAATTGTAGCTGTTTCCGGTTTCTGGCAGAAATATCAGTGTTGGTGTTTAGCATTGCCCTCTGTTTCTGTGTATCACACAGCTTCAAATCTAGTAATGATAGTTATCTGAGGTGGGCGGCTTACTCTTCTCCATTGTTGGCATTTTTGTGGTTCTGGGGCCTGTTTTTTCTTGCCCTTTCTGCTGACTGCTTGCCGGGACGGCCGGTCGTCATTTTCTGTACAATATTCTGGTAGAGTTTGGGATAACCATGAAACTAGTTAGGTTGATAAAATGTGTTTAAACGAAACGTATAGTAAAGTCTGTGTAGGTAAACATTTGTCTGATAAATTTCCTATCCAGAATGGTCTAAAACAAGTAGATGTTTTATCGCCACTGCTATTCAATTTTTCTTTAGAATATGCCATTAGGAAGGTCCAAGGAAACCGGGGAGGATTAAAATTAAATAGGACACATCACCTGTTGGTCTCTTACAATGATCTGAATCTACTGGACTGACTGACTCATGGAGCTGAGCCCTTCTGGAGGAGCCGCCAATTCTGCAGGTACTCAAGAATTTCCCAGCATTTTATGGAACCCGAAGGTTCATTACCGTGTTCACAAATGCCCTCCACTAGTCCCTATCCTGAGCCAGATCTATCCAATCCATACCATCCCTGTGAATATGCTGGAAGATAACATAAATACCATAAGGAAAAACATGCAACATTTCATTGACGCAAGTAAGGAGGTCGGTCAGAAAGTAAACACAGAGAAAACTAAGTATATGTCGCTGTTTCGCCATCAAAATGCAGGGCAATATCAGGACATAAACATAGGAAACAGATGTTATGAAACTGTGGCGCAGTTCAGATATTTGGTAACGATTATAACAAATCAGCACCTGATTCAGGAGGAAATTAAGAGGAGACTGAACTCTGGTAATGCTTGATACCATTCTGTTCAGAGCCTTTTTTTTTTTTCGTCTGGAAGGGATTCAATATTCGAGACGCACCTCGCCCGATTGGGGTCATTTCCTAGGCAACGATCTCGAAACAAAGAGACAACGGTCATTTCCTAGGCAACGGTTTCGTAAATACGCAATAGTACTTGAACCGTTGCTAGGCCGAGACCCGCGGGCAAAAATGGAAGCTTTCTTCGAAGTGTTATGTCCTATCTGGTCCCCTCCGAATAAAGACTGACTTCATTTGGGTTCGTGAATCAGAGGACTGCTGTGATTCAGATTCTTAAGGAAACCGGAGTAGGAGGAGTGCACGCCTGTGGCAGCTGTTGCCAGCAGCGACTGGTAAAGACACAGCAGCAGACCGAGAAAATTCAAGTGTGTGCTCTAGAGAATTGTAAAGTGTGTCAATTAGTGAAACTTGTATCCAAGGGTCTGTAAAATATCAATAAATGTGATTACTAAACCAATTGTACTATATGTATTTATGCAGTCACATTTACTGCCAACAGAGCCCTAACAGCATCCCCCTTTTCGGCCCTAATCTTCAAACTAAATACACAACACTATATCCTATTGTAATATTGCGCTGAAATATAAGAAAAACTTGGTTTATTTCGTCTACTACTATTAATAAAAATAAGTAAAATAAGTATTTCTTTATATATTACGGACACATAGAGATTAGCAGAAAACATTTTATTTTTCCAACGGCCAACTGGAACCAGAACAGCAATTTATTCTCTGCCGTCTCTGGGAGCCTCAACATTATGAGTCAACAGAAATGTTATCGCACTCGCACATCGACCTAGCACAACCCACATAGAAAACACTACGTCCAACAGCTCCACTATTGTTCAAAGTGCATTCGTTGTCTGGGAAACGTGTTTACCAAAGTTTAAGGCTACTGAGCAATCTGAGAGGCCGTAATCTTTGTGTTACTAAAGGGAAGGACGTAGGGATTGTGCCATTTCGCTGGGCTCAAAATGGTGTGATATACATTCCGAGATTCTTAAGGATTGGTATACACATTCAAACGTTGTTAGAAGGGACATTTATACAGGCTCATAGGCACAGAGGCAGCACGGTGACCTTTTAGCTATTTTACTTCCTGAATAAAAGCAAATTGGGCTAAAACGCTTTGGCATGTCTTATTAATGATTTTAAGAACAATACTACATACTCGATTTTTATACAATCTTCGGCTACTTAGAACTAGCATCATTTAGGAAAGAACAATATGCAATGACGCCTAAAAGCCTGAATTTCCTAGCCATTGAACTAATACAGAGACATCCATTGCTAGACAACGGTTTGCTCAGAGCACGTCTCCGAGACAACGCATTCATGCAGAGCGGTAGTGGAACCCTTGGAGACGGTGATCTCTATTCCGTTCTCATGAAGCTATGAAAAGAGGCCAGACCAGACGAGGACAGAGAGTTCGCAAGCAGACTTATCTGCAAATAAGAGCAGTGATTATCAAATATACTACTGGAACAACATGGATTCAAGTGCTTTTACGAGTACATGCTGCGCTAGCTTTCACAGACGCAACGGGGAGGCAGGAGAATGTAAAAGTGATATATTCGGAAGGAAGGGGTATGTGTACATACAGCCTCAGCCTGCAAAGTCATGCAAGCCTTTGAATATATATAAGAAGCCAACAGTGTCTTTCGAAGACGGCACTGTTTACAATCTGTCTTACATTGGAAATGACGCAGACACTGCTGCACAGTGTCGCGGCAGGGCCTTGCAACGGCGACAGAATCTTTTTCCTGCAGGACATATGAGCAGTGAAACTACATATCGACACGACTACGGATGGTGGCCTGAAGCTGTCCCGGCCGAGTCTGCCCGTCCACATTCGCTTCCTTTATTTGGCGGTGGTCCAATGGAGTCACTCTCTACACAGAAACATGACTACACACCAAAGCCTGTGACCGGGATCGTTAACTTCGGTCCTTACAATAACATAAGGTTGTCAGACAGGCCTATGGAGAAGACAACAATCGCCAGATTATCCTACCAGCCAATAGAGAAGTATATACCTACCGAAAGTTGTAAGCCTCAGGTATGTTGCAATGCACCTTCAATGCCATTTGCTAAGGACACGGTGCACACACTCAGCTATATGACACCGCCTAAAATCGAAAAAGTTCGAGGGTATAAGAACGAAAATTATCAAAGACCGACAACGAAATTAGATGCCAATTCCATTTACAGGCTGAGCTACATGCCTCCTGGAGAACTTGTGTACGTAGGGGAGTAAGAAGGAACTCGACAGACCTCTTGTGAATGTTGCTCATAACAACACAGGCAGAGTAAGGAAATAACTGCACATTGGAATACAATAGAAGATAGATCCCTTGGCTGGTACTCCAATGCAGCCCCGAAGGTTCAGGGTTTATGTCCTCGAATTAGCCTTGCCCCCCCCCCGACTCAGTACTCTATGCCTGCTCTGGCCTGCCACCTGTTGGTCCCCCTCCCCCCTCTCTTCTGAATTCCCGTGTAGCCCCACTCACTTCTCTTCCTGCTCTTATACAGCTGGGTTTACTCGACTTGACATTAGCCTGTCAGCACCTACCCACGCTGGTTCCTCACCCGAGGATATTATTTTTTCTTCTACCGTGAAGATGAAGGCGATACGTTCCTCCGAAGCGTCGGTTAACACAATATATACATCGAGCCACATCCTAGAAGATGGCTGTCTTCATAGTCACCGCGGCGAAAACCTCAAATCTTACACACGAAATGCCACAAACTCTTCCATGTTCATTTATTCTACGATGAGACTCCAGGTGCAAAGCATCGTGAATCTTGTACGGTCCAGCCTTCGGAGATGGACCACAGTGGGACTTGCAAAGAACCGTGCAAGCGCTGTACGTCCAGTCTCGCATGTCGGAGAGGACGCCAGCATACACCGTGTTATCCCGGCGCAACTCGCTTTGCTAACATCTTGCTGTGTTAACCCACTTGGAAGAGACTCAGTACTCAAGACGCACATTCGCCAGACTGGGGCGATATGATGGATCCGACTCTACACCACTGCATGCGCCACAACTATAGGTTTCTGCGTTCCTATTATCATATTAATATTAGAATCCACCTTCACTAAGAAAAGTAAGAAACCCATGCGCTCATTATAAGAAAGGACTTAACATATTGCTAGGCAACGATCCCAGAACAAACAAAGAGACAACGGTCATTTCCTAGGCAACGGTTTCGTAAATACGCAATAGTACTTGAACCGTCGCTAGGCAGAGACTCACGGGCCAAAATGGAAGTATTCTTCAAAGCGTTGTATTGTACATGGCCCGCTCCGAGGCTTCATCACTCCAAAGATCGACTTCGTTTGGGTTCGTGAGTCACTTAAAGGCCTGCTGTGGTTCAGTCCTTGTGAGCTGTTGCTGCTAGAAGCTCGTGGCTGACGCACACGGATTCTTAGGGAAACCGGAGTAGGAGGAGTGCACGCCTGTGGTAGCTGTTACCAGCAGCGACTGGTAAAGACACAGCAGCAGACCGAGAAGATTCAAGTGTGTGCTCTAGAGAATTGTAAAGTGTGTCAATTAGTGAAACTTGTATCCAAGGGTCTGTAAAATATCAATAAATGTGATTACTAAACCAATTGTACTATATGTATTTATGCAGTCACATTTACTGCCAACAGAGCCCTAACAGCATCCCCCTTTTCGGCCCTAATCTTCAAACTAAATACAAAACGCTATATCCTATTGTAATATTGCGCTGAAATATAAGAAAAACTTGGCTAATTTCGTCTACTACTATTAATAAAAATAAGTAAAATAAGTATTTCTTTATATATTACGGACACATAGAGATTAGCAGAAAACATTTTATTTTTCCAACGGCCAACTGGAACCAGAACAACAATTTACTCTCTGATGTCTCTGGGAGCCTCAACATTATGAGTCAAGAGGAATGTTATCGCACTCACAACGACCTAGCACGACCCACATCGAAAACACTACGTCCAACAGCTCCACTATTGTTCAAAGTGTATTCGTTGTCTGGGGAACGTTGTACACATTCAAACGTTGTTAGAAGGGACATTTATACAGGCGCATAGGCACAGAGGCAGCACGGTGACCTTTAAGGCTATTTTACTTCCTGAATAAAAGCAAAGTGGGCTAAAACACTTTGGCATGTCTTATTAATGATTTTAAACAATACTACATACTCGATTTTTATACAATCTTCGGCTTCTTAGAACTAGCAACATTTAGGAAAGAACAATATGCCATGACGCCTAAAAGCCTGAATTGCCTAGCCCTTGAACTAATACAGAGACATCCATTGCTAGACAACGGTTTGCTCAGAGCACGTTTCCGAGACAACGCATTCATGCAGAGGTGTAGTGGAACCCTTGAAGGCCTTGGAGGCGGTGATCTCTATTTCGTTCTCCTGAAGCTAAGACCAGACCAAGGCACCCCCCAACCCCCCGTGTGGAGGCGGGAACGAATACCTCCACCGTGATCCTGCGAGTCGTAGGAGACGACGAAAAGCGAAATCTCAAATCTGAGATAGTAAAATATGGTTGCGAGCCCCAAGGGACTCAGACCCCAGAAAGAATGCACTGGCAAGGCCAGCAGCATATACAAAAGGCAGACCGGTCCTCTTGTCAGAAAGGACAAAAACAAGACCGTAAATGCGAAACGGTAATAAATATCGCTCGAGACCAAGACTTACTGACTGACTGACTGACAGTCAGTCGCAATGTGACTTAGACTTAGACAGGCACCCTTTTGGAGGAACCTCCTTCCTCCACAGTCAGGACAGGCAGAAAGCTGTATGTACAGAAATGGTAGAGGTACAGAGAAGGAACAAGATTTAGACTTTGATTGGTCAAAACAGAAGTAGTGAGAACAGCGTGAAGAACACTGGTCCTCAATCTCCGTATGCTTGTACTATATTTTCTCATTCACTTTACTCTTCTACTCCTCCACTGGACAAAGCAAGTTCTGCCAAAACATTGTGATTATCTAGATGACTGCATGGTATAACATCCCAGGAGACAACAGTCTTCACAGCTGCTACTGTCAGAACCTCAAATCACACTTTGCCTTTAAGTGGCCTCCATTCAAATACAAGTAGTCTTGCATAATTAATTTAGAGACAAGGTCACCAAATTCAGCCTATCTCTCTGGAATGGGTATATCAGATGCGTCCAAGCAAGTCCAATGAAATCACTATGAATGTTTGTATTTTATGAAAGAGTACAATAAGATGAAAGAATATTCATGTATGAACACACTGTGAAGATACAAAGATTCAGTTTGGTGACAGTACAGTTGTTCTGGACAGAGCAAAAAATAAAAATGCTGAAGCACCTGCTAGGAATAAAACCCATTCATGCAGCCTGTAGTTACTTATTTTCTGACCACTGCAGCAACTCAAAGAGAGAATACCACATACTGTCTCTGCTTTTATGCCTCGCTATTCATAAACAGAATATAGAGTGCATTTGGTCAAGTCAACTGAGGTAAGAAATTTAAAGCGTGTATGGGTTACAACGCCGGTCACGGTAGCCGAGCGGTCTATGGCATGCACTGTCTTCGCTCGCTCAGAAGCCGGGATCGTGGGTTCGAATCCCACTCAGGGCATGGATGTTTGTGTGCGTTTTTATGTGTTTGTGTACAGGTAGAGGCCTTGCGACGAGCTGATCACCCTCAAGGAGTCCTACAGAACGTGTAAGATCTAGAAAAAACGAAGTGAACGGAGAAGTTCATGGAGGTAGGACTAGTCCCACTGGGGCTGTAGTGCCAAGGGGGAAAAAATAGGTCTGCACTCACAGACGAAGCAAGTAATTGCAAATGTATATAATTACTTAAAGAGACTAGTAGATAGTGGAGCTGCTGTAAACTTAAAGTCAATCCAGAAAACTGTACGTGAAGCTACAGGAATCGGCCGTACTGCATTGAATGAAATTATTCGAAAAGAAAAGAGCTTAGAAGAGGGCGCTTCCTTTGACTCACGGACCAAGAAACGTAAGAAGGAGAGACCTGTAACGGAAAGAGATCAGTTTATAGAAGACGCCATCAGAATAATGATCTACGACTTTCATAAAACAGATGGCGAACGAGTTACCACGCCCAAACTTCACAAAAAAATGGTAAGAGACCTACAATTTGAAGGAAGTCTTCCTAGTTGCAGGAGAATTATTCGCCGGCTTGGTTTTCGTTGGAGAAGGACGAGGGATAATAGAAAAACATTTATTGAAAGGCATAACATATGTTCTAAACGCCTGCATTATCTGAGGACAATCAGGCAATATCGCAGAGAAGGTCGGCCTATTGTGTATGTGGATGAAACGTACTTGCACAGCAGCCACACATCGTCATACTCTTGGGATGACTCGCTAAACAAAACACTCTCCTCTCCTGTTGCCAAAGGTCCACGAGCAATTATTGTACATGGTGGTGGTAAGCAAGGTTTTGTGGAGAAAGCTTTGCTTATGTTTAAGTCAGGCAGAAAAGCAGGAGACTACCATCACGAGATTAATTCTGGAAACTTTGAAAAGTGGCTCAAGGAAAAATTAATTCCAAACTTGCCTCCAAGAACGGTGATCATAATTGACAATGCAAGTTACCGTAATATTGAAGTAAACAGGGCGCCAACTTCAAATACCAAAGTAGGTGAAATGAAACAGTGGCTGGCAGAACGCAACATTTCGTATCCGGCTTCGGCACTGAAACCAGACGTGTACGAAATAATAATAAAAAAAACAAGTCAGATAATAAAAAATATAGACTAGACGCTATTTGTGCTGCTGCTGGACACTCTGTGATACGTCTGCCACCTTATAATCCAGACCTTAATTCTATTAACACTAGTTAATTCTACATGTACCTCCATGACGAAAGGCTAAATTCTTTTCTTCATTACATATGATTATTATATTTTAATTTTCAAAGTATAAATTAGTAATACACATTAGACGTATTTTTCGTTGCATGTCGAGTGACAATACAGTTGTATTATTGTAATATTTTCTTCGAAAAGAGAATAGGGCGGTTTCAATGAAACACGAGGGGTTGGTGAAAGTGGAAGAACGAGTGTTAAGAAACTCCTCCCACCACAAGCTGTGCGCGAGATTTGACTAGGAACGCGGGGCCTTGTTCGAAGTTACGTGACACCGTCTATACATGAAAGAGCAGTATTATAGAGTAAAACTCCTGTTTAATGTTCCACAATTTAATGGTTTTCCTCACTTAATATTCAATTCTAGTATCCCCAAGTCAGTAACTTCAGTGCCAAACTTCCTCAATTTAATGTTCAAATCCATTGTTCCCCAGAGAAATCTTAAATATGCGTTTCACTGTACATAATATGATGAAGGTTTTACTAAGACTGCAAAAGTGTGCAAGTTTAAGTTCCTCTCAGAGGAAGATCAAGCATGTCAATGACAGTTGAGCCAATATAATGGAGGATCCACATTCGTCCAAAATAGCAGTAAATGTCTGCCAGATTACACAGTCACAACTACTGAAGAAGAGCAGTTACTATAGGATTCTGACGATGGTGTATAACACACTGATATGTTGGGTTTTTGGACTTTATCCATCGTCCCGGTTTTTAAGATAACAAATAAAAACACGACGTTTCGGAAACTGGATCTGTGGACCAGTG